CCCAGTTCCAGCCCAGTTCAGCCCAGTTCCAGCCCAGTTCCAGCCCAGTTTCAGCCCAGTTCCAGCCCCAGTTCCAGCCCCAGTTCCAGCCCCAGTTCCAGCCCCAGTTCCAGCCCCAGTTCCAGCCCCAGTTCCAGCCCAGTTTCAGCCCCAGTTCCAGCCCCAGTTCCAGCCCCAGTTCCAGCCCAGTTTCAGCCCCAGTTCCAGCCCCAGTTCCAGCCCAGTTCCAGCCCCAGTTCCAGCCCCAGTTCCAGCCCCACTTCCAGCCCCACTTCCAGCTCCCATCCAGCCCCGGAGCTCAGAGTGAGGTTATTGAACCACATCCTTGCCGACCTGGTCTGCAGGGCTTTGTTTCAAAGAGCAATTTAAAACCAGAGGAGAAGACAAATTACAGGGTTTGGGCCTGGGCCTGGCAGGGAGGGAGCCAGGAGAGGGATCCAGGGCTGGATCCAGGAGGTTCCTGGCACTGGAGGGGGCACAGAGGGGCAGGGACAGCCCTGCCAGGGGACACCGGGGTGCCCAGGGGTGTCCTGACCCCCGGGACCCTCGGGGCATCACCCACTGCCCCCATCCCTGACCTGGGGGCTCAGAGCCCACCCCAAACCCCTCACCCTGCACAGCTCGTCAATAGAAACCCCCAAACCCCTCATCACGTGCTGCTCATCACCAGAAACCCCCCCAAAACCCCTCATCATGTGCAGCTCATTAACAGAAACCCCCCAAACCCCTCATCGTGTGCAGCTCATTAACGAGGATCACCTGGGATGAGGCTCACCCTTAATGAGACTCACCTGAGATAAGCATCACCCTTTAGGAGACTCACCTGTGATGAGTATCACTTTAATGAGAATCACCTTTAATGAGAATCACCCTCTGAGACTCACCTGAGATAAGCATCGCCCTTTAGGAGACTCACCTGGGATGAGTATCACCTGTAATGAGAATCACCTTTAATGAGAATCACCCTTAATGAGGCTCACCCTTAATGAGGCTTCCGAGCCACACCCACGAGGCTCATTACATGTGTTAAACAAATGCCAATATCTGCTCAATGCTGACAAAATAAACACCTTGAAGCGAACAGTGAATTACTGTGAGTGCTTCATGGACATGTTTCAGTTTACAAATACCCCAAAATCAGTCCAGAGGAGACTCTGGAGCCAGGCTGGGAGAGCTGGGGGGGCTCCCCTGGAGAGGAGAAGGATCCAGGGAGAGCTCTCAGCCGAGGGGGTGCCAATATCTGCTCAATGCTGACAAAATAAACACCCTGAAGTGGAAAGTACTGTGAGTGCTTTATGGACATGTTTCAGTTAAAAAATACCCCAAAAATCAGTCAGAGGAGCCCCTGGAGCCAGGCTGGGAGAGCTGGGGGGCTCCCCTGGACAGGAGAAGGATCCAGGCAGAGCTCAGAGCCCCTGGCAGGGCCTGGAGGGGCTCCAGGAGAGCTGCAGAGGGACTGGGGACAAGGATGGAGGGACAGCACACAGGGAATGGCTCCCACTGCCAGGGGGCAGCCATGGATGGGATACTGGGAATTGTTCCTGGCAGGGTGGGCAGGGGCTGGGATGAATTGCCAGAGCAGCTGTGGCTGCCCCTGGATCCCTGGCAGTGCCCAAAGCCAGGCTGGATGCGTTTGGACCATCCTGGGACAGTGGGAGGTGTCCCTGCCATGGCAGGGAATGGGATGAGCTTTAAGGAGTGTTTTTCAGGGGAATGGAAATGATATAAATTAGAGATGTGGAACAGCTCTTTAAGCAGGGAATTTGATGAATAACAGCTCCTTGGAGCAGGGGAGCAGCAGGAATTCAGGGTAGAGGAAATTCTTTCCTGTGGAGGGGAGGTGCAGTGGGGGATGAAAAACAGGGAGAGCACAGCACAAAACACTCCCAGGCACAGGGGGGTTTTGGGGTGTCTGTGCAGGGCAGGAGGTGGATCAGTGATCCCTGGGGGTCCCTGCCATCAGGACATTCCTGGATAAGACAGCCTGAGCCACAACACCCATCAGCACAGGAGGACACCTCAAAACCTCCTTTAACCCCTGCCACCGAGCCCAGCCAAGGTGGGATTTAATTCACGGCTTTGCCTGGTCGGCCCCGGGAATTGCTGAGCGCTGCCCCGGGTCTGGGGCACATGAGCTGTCCCCCATGAGCTGTCCCACACGAGCTGTCCCCCATGAGCGGCGGCATCCCAGCGGGGAGGCCAGAGCCCCATAAATATCCGTGACTGCCCTGGCACACAGAAATGCCTCAGAACAGGCGCGGGGCTGCGGCAGGAGCACGGAATCATCTGGGGCACGGCAGGAATGCCGCTCCCCTCCTTCCTCCCCTTGTGGCCTTCTCCTGGTTTCAGGGTGCTGCTGCGGAAAGCAGAGGGATCTCCAGCCCGGGAAAGGGGCAGGGCAGCAGGGGATGGAGGCTGCCCGGGCAGCTGGGCTCCCCGGGATTTGGGTTATGGGGACCTCATTCCAGCACTCCTCTGCTTCCAGACACGGCCTGGCGAGGGCAGAGCACGGCACCCATCGCCCCATCCCAGCCCAGAGCTCCCGGCTGTGGGACCCCCGGGCCCGGCTGAGGGACAGTGGCACCGTCAGGGACAGGGACAGGGACACTGCCGGCAGGAGAGCTGAGCCCCACCCCACACAGAGGGATCCAGCAGCCAGGAACACGGAGCCTGGAGCCCCACGGGGCTGCGGGGACCTCAGCAGAGCAGGGACCGGGGGCAGGTTTGGGGACACAGCGGGAAAGGTTTGGGGACACAGTGGGACAGGTTTGGGGACAGACATGGGGCAGGTTTGGGGACACACATGGACAGGTTTGTGTGCTCACATGGGCAGGTTTGGGCACCCGGGGACACAGACGGGACAGGTTTGGGGACACAGTGGGGCAGGTTTGGGGACACAGTGAGGCAGGTTTGGGGACACAGCGGGGACAGGTTCGGGGACACACAGCAGGACAGGTTTGTGTGCTCACATGGGCAGGTTTGGGCACCCAGCAGGGCAGGGGCACCTTCTGCAGCCCAGGGTGCTCCAGTTACATTTGCATGAATTACCCTGGAGGTTTTTGACAGAGAAAAGATGCAGAAAAGCACAGTTAAATCTTTCTCCTGTTGCAAATCTGCCCAGGGGAGCAGGAACATCCTGTTTGCACTGTTATGAGATAATAATGGCATTAAACAGGACATCATTATGGCCTCATTAGTTATGGCCCTACACATTTATTTGGGGGATTAAATCTCTCTGTTCAGACCACAGACTCGACCTGGCCTAACAATCCCACTGAAATTAAAAAGTTTTCCCTTTCAGTAAAGTCTAAGAGTTAATAAAATCCACGGGTAGCCAAACAAGCACAACTCCTGCTGGGATCTCAGTGCCAGGGCTGTGGCACCGTGGGCATGGCTGGGACAAGGTGGCACTTTCCTCCTGGCCACGTGTGACACAGAACCAGGGGGTGGTTTGGGTAGAGGGGACCTCAGAGGTGCCCCTGCAGGTCCCTGCAGTCCCTCCCCTGCAACGGCATCTCTCAAATGTTATTTATGTCCTGCTCTGGCTTTTTTTAATAGAGGAGGAAAACTTCCCTCCCTTCCCTTCCTCCTCATTTATTACAGGCATTAAGTTAAACATGGTTTCCTCTTAAACTCGACCTAATCCAATTAATATTAATATTGCCTTGAGCCAGGCTGATCTCATTAGTGTCCATATTTAATATCTTTTCTGCGAGTTGTGCTGAAAATGAGCTTCTTGCTTTGCAGCGACTCTGGAAAGGAGGAGCAGCGTTTCCTTCCATTCGGGACCGCGGGCGGGACGGGAAAAGGAGCAGCCTGGGGCAGGGGGCTGGATCCGGGGTACCGGTGTGACACCAGCTGGGGCCTCCCGCAGCTCCTCCTGCTCCGGCAGGGATGCTCCGGGCGCGGCTCATTAGCGGGGGACAGCTCATTAACGGGGGGGAACAGCTCATGAACACCCCAGGGCCGGGCACTCCGTTCCTTCAGGGCCGTCCAGCTGCGCGGCCCGCGGGGGGCCCGAGCTCTGTGTCCCCCGGGAATTCCACCGGGAAGTGCCGGATTCCCGCAGGCTGCTGTCCCGCCAGGCCTGTGCAAGGACTTGAGCCCTGGCTGTGCCATCTGCTGCCCTTCCCTTCCCTTCCCTTGGAGCAGGGACAGGGTGTGGAGCAGAATCACCCCGGATTTGGGCTGCAGCAATAGCAGCCAGTGAAACAGGACCCCTGGTACTCAGAACAAAACTCCCTTTTGGTTTTGGATCCGGCAGCAAATAATTGGGACCCGTGGAATGCCATAAAGCCATAGAATGGTGAGGGGTGGGAAGGACCTTAAAGAACAAGATGATCCAACCCAAACCATTCCATAATTTACCAATAGTCTCCTTTCATGTGCAGAGCCGTGGAGATGATGCACTGAAAACTGCCCAGTTCCAGCCCCAGGGCTCAGGGTTAGATGTGTTCATCCTCCTCCCAAACCACAAAATGAATCTTTCCCTGCCATGACCTCGTGGTTTTAGGCCAGGCTGCCTTTATTCACCTCTGTCCCCTCCCACCAGGTCCTGGCCGGCGCCCACAGCAGCCCTGGCTCAGCAGAGGCAGCAGCAGCTCCACCTCGGCCCGGCTCATCTCTGCACACCCATTTTGAGGGAATTCATGCTGTGTCCCAGCCCCCCAGAAGAGTCACCAGTGCGGCACCCGTGGGACAACCCCCCCTGAGCCCGGGGGGATAATGAGGGTTTTGTTTGTGGCTTTTCATAAGACAGCTGGGTTTGGATCGGGAGGGAGCTCAAACCCAGCACTGCCACCCTGCCCTGGCAGGGACACCTCCCACTGCCCCAGGTGCTCCAGCCCTGCCTTGGGCACTGCCAGGGATCCAGGGGCTGCTCCGGGCACCTGTGCCCGGAATTCCTTCCCCATGTCCCATCTATCCCATCCCGAATGCATCCCTGCCCTGCTCCACAGGCAGCCCCACCAACCCAGGTCCCTGAGGTGCCAAAACAGAGCTGGCAGCGGTGGGATTCGAACCCACGCCCCCGAAGAGACTGGAGCCTTAATCCAGCGCCTTAGACCGCTCGGCCACACTACCCTGGCAGGGTGTTCCCTGGGAATGGTATTGGAGCCGGGATCCGCCCCTGGGCACGGCGCCTTGCCCATCCCGGCCGCCCTCTCCCGCTGCAGATCCTCTGGATGCTGCTGCGTTCTCAGGAGCTCCCGGCAGGATGGAGCCTGGCTGCAGCATTCCCTTCCCTTCCCTTCCCTTCCCTTCCCTTCCCTTCCCTTCCCTTCCCTTCCCTACCCTCCCAGCTCCCTCCCCACTGACCCGCACGTCTCTTTCCTCAAAGGCTGAGGACAGCCCCTCCATCCCGCTGGGAACAAGCCCCAGAGTCCGATGTTCCTGTTGGATTTTCCCGTTGGATTCCCACCGTGCCGCGTCCCCGCGATGCAGAGGAACAGTGGCAGTGGCAGTGACAGTGACAGTGACAGTGGCAGTGACAGTGACAGTGACAGTGGCAGTGACAGTGACAGTGACAGTGGCAGTGACAGTGACAGTGACAGTGGCAGTGACAGTGACAGTGACAGTGGCAGTGACAGTGACAGTGACAGTGGCAGTGACAGTGGCAGTGGATGGGGCAGTGGCAGGGGCAGTGGCAGTGGCAGGGGCAGTGACAGCGGCAGTGGCAGCGCTGCTGCTCAGTGCCTGCATGGCCCGCAGGTCCCAGGCTGCCGCTGTGGGATCAGGGACGGGGCCAAAATCCGCAGGAAACCTCCTGCCAAGCGCCGGGAGCCAGACCCAGGGAAGCTCTGGAGTCACGTAAATATTTTTCCTCGCCGGTTAAACACAGGCACTCTCTCCTTCCTCAGCACGGCCATAAAAGCACGTTTCAATAAACAGCGCTTCAAAGGGACGTTTGCTCTTGGCTGCTCTTCCAGCCTTTTTCATTCACTGCAGCAGCTCCTGGCTGCACGAGCTGCAGGTGCCCCCAGCTCCCTCTGGAAACTCGGCACCTTCTCCCGAATCCTCCCATTCCCAGACACGTTCTGATTTAAACTGCAAAAATAACCAGTGGTAAAGAAGGAGGTGTTGTCTGGAATTCCTTGCTCCATGGGTTTTTGATCCACATTGCTCCAGCCCTAGTGCTCCCCAGTCCCAAATCCCGGGATGGATCCCTGTCAGGGATGCCCTGCAGAGGTGGTGAAACTCCAGGAGTAAACTGGTTATTTGGGGATAATAATTGGATTTTCATTAAGGGGACACTCACAAACTGCTGCCAGTTTCTGAAAGACGATTTATTTCCAGCCAGCAGCTGCCAAATCATTCCAAATAAATTCCAGCCCCACGGAAGTTTACAGCTCCATTTGGGATCCCGTGGATCTGGGGACCCTGATCTGCCCCGGGAGAGTGGGAAAGTGCAGGATTTGAGGCATCTGCACCTCGTTGTGTGGCAGGGGTCGGGAAACCTTCCCAATAAACATCCTGCAGCGCTGGGGAGGTTTGGAATTAAACCCCAAACCACTTTAATAAATCCAATGGGATTATTTCAATTAAAAAGAAGTGATTACAACAGCCCTTATTTTCTTATTATGGCATTTAAGCAGCCCCTATTAAAAGATTAGAAAATATTGAGCCTTTGTATGGCTCTCCAAAACAATGTTTGGAGTATCCCTGATTAAAATTATTGCTGTTTAAATACTTCTGCTAAAAATTACATTAATAAAATTGGACATCCCTGTCCAAATTTGGGACAGCAGCTTTGAGAAGGCCTGAGACCTCCCCAGGGATCACCCATGGCCACGGAAAAGCCACCTGGGTTTGTAGAAAACGTTTTTATTCCCCTGAAACAGAAGAAAAACCCCTGCAATATTCCCTGATCTGCTCATTCTTGTGTTCCCCAGCAGCCCAGCCCAGGGCCAAGAGCAAATAATTCCCATTTCCATAGATGAGGAGATGAATCATTGCTGGTATTTTTAGCAGGTCATTAAGGGCTGGCAGGGATATTTGCAAACTGACTTGTGGGGGTTTGCCTTGGTGTGAGCACAAGCTCGGAGAGAAAACATCAACTGGGAGTCAGAACAGAGGGAGTGGGAGCACTGGGAATTGCATCTCCAAGTCTGAAACTGCCAGGGAGGGACGGGATAAATGGGGTTTGTGGGAGCCTGAGACAGGGGGCAGGGATTTGTGGAATCCCACCCCATGGATGTTTACACACCCCAGGGAGGGATGCTGCAGGCACTGGGACAGCTGCTCCCGTGGGGCTGGACGGAAAGGGAGTTTTCCTGCTGCTCTGGGAGCAGGGAAGTTCCTTGGGAGTTCAGAGCAGCATCAGGGCACCTCAGAGGAGTCATGGAATGGGTTGGGAGGGAGCTTAAAGCCCATCCTGTGCCATCCTGTCATGGCAGGGACACCTCCCCCTGTCCCAGGTGCTCCAGCCTGGCCTTAGGCACTGCCAGGGATCCAGGGGCAGCCACAGCTGCTCTGGGCACCTGTGCCAGGGCCTGCCCACCCTCCCAGGCAGGAATTCCTTCCCAAAGTCCCATCTCAATCTCTCCTCTTTAGTTCAAAACCATTCCCCTTGTCCCATCACCATCTGCCCGTGCAGAATCCACTCTCCTGGCACAGGAGAGGAGCTGCTCACCCATCAGTGGAGCAGAGCTTCCCAAAATGGGCATTTAATAAAGAAACTCCACATATTAATATTCACATTTAACAGCTCCTTCTCTTGTCTGTGCTCCTGGGGTGCGCCGAGCACCGCCCAGGGGAAATGCAGGGAATAAAGCAGCTGGAAGGATCCCAGGGAGCCTCTGGAGCAGGAGGGCAGCTCACACAGCCCGAGAAGCCCGGGCAGCCCAGCCCTGCCACGGCCAGGCTGACAGGGCTGCACATTCCTTCCCAAATGTGGAGGGACTGCCTGGCAACCGGATACCACGGAGGGCTGTGCCAGGGCCACCAGCCCTCAGCTGTCCTGCATTTCCCTGGAAAACCCAACTAATGCAAGGCATCAGCAGCACATGTGTCAGGGCTGGAGCTGGCATCCTCTGCAGTGCAGGGAGGCGTGGGCACCACCTCCATGGGACAGCCCATCCATCCCTGCAGGCTCCAGCCGCCAGGGGGGAGCTTTGGGATCCTCTCTGCACAAAGTCCCTCACATTTGGGAAGACTTCTGTACTTCTCATGTGTGATTTGATGGTGAAGCTGCTCCTGCTGTTGCTGTCCTGAGCCATCATTAGGCAGCACAACCCATCCATCATCACTGTCCGTCATCCATCATTGTCCATCATCCACTTCCCATCATCATCCATCATCATTGTCCATCATCCATCATTGTCCATCATCATCCACTGTCCATCATCATCCATCATTGTTGTCCATCATCCATCATTGTCCATCATCCACTTCCCATCATCATCTATCATCATTGTCCATCATCCATCATTGTCCATCATTGTCCATCATCCACTGTCCATCATCCATCATTGCCCATCGTCATTGTCCATCATCATCCATCATTGTCCATCATCATCCATCATCCACTGTCCATCATCATTGTCCATCATCATCCAACATTGTCCATCCTCCACTGCCCCTCATCATCCATCATCTTTGTCCATCATTGCCCATCATTGCCCATCATCCCTCAGCAGCCAGAGCCACCGCTCCTGCAGAGCCAGGGTGAGTGCAATGTCAGCAAGGGGAGGTGTCCCTGCCTGGCCCAGGGGTCACCCATGTCACCCCCAGGGCCACCCTGGCAGCAGGAAGGTGGCCCTGGATCTGGAATCTCCTCAGGAGCTGGAGGGAAAAACCATCAGGAGAACAGGAACAGGCTGCACCCAGGGATTCTCACCTTGGAGGGAAACTCTGGATCACAGGAGACAGGAAAGCCCTGCCTGGCTGCCCATCCCCAGCTTTCAGCAGCCCCAAGTACAGCTGGAAAAGGACCCCCACGCCCAGGGCTCGGCTCTGGCAGCAGCTCTGGAAAGGTAAATCCAGCTCCAGCTTCATCAGCTCCCTCAGCACTTGTCAAATTAAGGGCTCTGGTCGGAGCCTCAAAGGCTGAGAGGCTCTGCAGCCGCCAGGGAAGGGAGCTCAGGGAATTGCAGGAGCTGGGATTGCAGGAGATGGCGTTGATGTCTTCTCTGAAGGGGAAATCTGGTGTCAGAGAGGAACAAGGTGACAAAACACGACTCGGGGAGCCTGAATCCCCGAGAGGGCAGAGCTGGTGCCTCGGTATCTGCCTCTGAACAGAATCCCCAGGGCCTTCGTTCCCAGGAAAACAGAGCTCGTTCCTCACCAGGGAATCAAACAGCTGCATCCACCCACAGAGCATCAGGGAATGGCCCTTGGAGCCCAGTGCTTCTGTCTGGGTTTTCTTTGAGGAATGGATTTAATGTGCAGTAAATTGAATGGAACCTTTGCTGTAAATGCAGGCATTTGTTTCTTGGAGTCTCAGGGGTTCCATTAATTATCCTGGGCCCCATGGCCAAGCTGGAAAGGAATTTCTTTCTGAGGGAAAAGGAGCAAGTCACAGAGAGATGCAGGGTGGGTTTCAGACACAACAGAAGAAAGGAACTTAATTCAGGATTTAGGATCAGAAGTGATCAGAATTTTGCCAGATGGAGTGTTTCTGGACATTTTAGGCCACTGGGCAAGCTGGGACAAGGACAGGCTGTTCCTGCAGGATGGCAGTGCCCAGCCTGGGCTCAATCCTCCCCTGCTCATGATCCTCCCACCCCCAAACACACCATGGCTCTTCCTGCCAGGAGTCCTGCAGCTCCCCTCCAGCCCAGCCCAGAGCCTGGGGCAGCAAAACTCCTTTTCCAGATTCCTCTTTTCTCCTGAGCAGTGCTGAGGTGGAACTGAGCCCCACAAGTGCTCCGTGGTCCTTCACCTTCTGCTTTGCTCCATCAGGGGCTGGAGGTGCAAGGGGGGTTCTGGTGGCACTGGACTCCTGCCAGAGAGTGCCTGGAGCTCCTGGGAAGAGCTTCCAGAGAATCCATGCTGGATGCAGGCAGCAGTTCTGGGAATGTGGCTGTGGCTGCTGGCAAAGGCTCAACTGCAGCTGAAGCTCCTGGGAATTGCTGCCTGTGCCT